GAGAAAAAAAAAGATAGTGAAGTTGTTCTGAATATTGAAGATATGATTTGAAGGAGGGACTTCAATAAAAAAATGAGATTGCTGCAATTTTTCTCAGTCAAGAAGTTGATTTATCAAATTCTGATCACATTTATGTCATAGAAAATCTCATAATATATAAATAGAAACGTAAATCGTACTACATACTTTTTACTGATTATTATTATTCATAATAATATCTTCAAATGCATATTTCTTCTTATTTATAAATCTTTTCTTTAACATCAATCACCTATCGATCACTTTCTGTGTCTTCGGTGGCATTTCTTCTTCGTTAGATTCGTCAAACCTTCCCGATTCTATAGTAGCCAATATTATTTTAGACTGAATTGGTCTTCCATCCACAATTTCATCTGAATCACTAACTCCCTCGTTGGTTTTTTCTTCCACATTGGTGCACTTTTAATTTTTTTTACTAGAAACTATTCCAGCAATCACAATTTTCCATGGAAATTCCTTTTTCAAATTCTATCTTTGATATTTAGAACAACTATTTTCGCATGTTTCTTGCAATCTCTATGATTTATGAATTTGAATTCGTTTTACTTTTCAATGTAACATAAAAGTTGATATGAGGTGAAAAAATGAATATTTCAAATCAAAAAAATTACAGAGTCTTTATAACATGACAAAGTAAGTTTCGACCAAATTTCGTGAATAAAATCATCTTCGCATGAAAAAATAAAAAACCAAACACTTGATTATTTGAATTTTTTACATGAATTTTGAGGTTATGTGAAGAAAGTGTTATCACAAAAGTTGTAGGTCTCTTCATTACCTACAACTTCGCTTTCCAACTTTTTTCCATAGGGCTCGTAGTTTTGCTGGAAATGAAGATAAACCGTTTTTTACCCTTGAAAACTCACCCCCTACCACTTCTTGACCTCATATCGCCCTTAATTTATTGTAATATGTATGGGACTGCTTAGAAACCCTAAATGCAGTGGGCAGTCAGAACAGATTGACTCTAGCATGGGTACCAGCACATACAGGGTATGAGGCAGACTCACTTGCCCGAGCGGGAGCAAACAAAGCTCTTAATGGCCCAGAATCCTTTGGTGGTATTGCGAAAGCTATACAAAAGACTAGTAAAAAAATCATGGATGAAATCTCAAGAATGTTGGAACAACTCGCCAGGAATGAGACAGGGTAAATTGTTTATTGAAAAACCATCGCCAACATTCACAGAATATCTACTAAGCCAGAAACGAAGTTCAACTAGAATACTAGTGGGACTTCTCACAGGCCATTATATATAGACTCAACACACACATGAGTACGATAGGTCTCACTGAAGAACTGCTGTGCAGGTTCTGTCAAGAAGAGGAAGAAACAGCAGTACACATACTTTGCTACTGTGAGGGCTTGTCAAGACTAAGGTTCCTTACGCTGTGGGGAGGAAAAACCAGGAGCCCAGAGATACACAGGAGATCTGAAAGCTAGCCTATGGAGTCTCATAGAGAAGGCGAGTCTAGCCGAAGAACTCTAATCGATTTTGAGGGCAGACACAATAGGTAGATCTGAAAAGGTCGCAGTGTGGAGGCAGATAGCCCGAAGGCCCCATTCCAAATCTAATCTAGTCTAATCTTTGTTATATTCTCTTTTCTTTTTCAATGAGTTCCATCCTACTATATGATTTTACCTCACATTTTACCGTTTTCGAAGGCTCCAGAACTGGTCTACCTATAATTTTGAATACAAAGGTTTTTACTCTTTGGCTTGGAATGTAGTCTATTACATCTCATTTAATGTTAAATAATTTCAGACATTTGATTTGCTCACCTTGCCCATTCTCTCAAACGCGCTGTGGTAACTATGTGACTTCATAAACATATTAACTCAGTCATTGACATTGACAATCAGTCTCTGTCAACAATATAATGATGGTTGAAAATGTCGATTATTTATCAGACCAATTGAAGAGTAGAAATTCGAAAGGGTCTTAGTGCCGTTTTCAGCAAATTTTAGATTTCACTCATTATGGGCCCGGTCTATGTGCCAAGGCCAATACCATACAAAACGGTCAATGTGCCATTTGCCATAGGCAGTATTCATTTTGTGATGTAGAAAGCTGCGCAGGGTCGAAGCACCGGTACGTTAAAAGGGTCATAGTTCCAAATTATTAACATTGGTAGCATACAAGATGGACGCACGTGGTGATGTACAAGCCGGAAATATTGCAGTAAAAAGGCGACAGAATGGTACTGAGAGTGTTAGAAACGAGAGAAAAAGAAGCAGAGTTAGTGGCTTGCAACATAAAAATTATAAAAATGTCCTTATACCGGCAAAAAATCCACCTGAACAAGAGGTAAGCAACTTTAACCCAAAATCAGTAAACTAAGTATACTCACATTATGCTCTTGTTGCAGGTAACTTGTTCTTGTAAATATTCCTGCATATCTTTATCGTTCAACCTGAAAAACTCACTATTCCAACAATTTCATGATGTTGCAAATCACGATAAGCAGAGTACTTTTCTTATGGGGCAGAGCAGAGAAGCTCAAAAATCTAAAAAACATGGTGGACTTTATTCCATTGAAATATATTCCGTTTTATGAAGATCTCATAGAAAGACCAGAATCACAGTAAAAGACTACTTTGGACATAGACCCTTTTCACGATTCCTTGTTCTTGGCACTTTGGACCTTCTAGCAGTTGTCATGTTTTAGTTAGTGTTTTTCATGTGAGTTTTCGTTTTTTATGTGTAACTTTGTAGGTATGTAGTTCATGTGATCGTGTTTTCTGTACCCAATAAACATATTTCTATACAGTTTGTTTCTTATTTTAATTTTTTAGGCATGTTTTATGTAATATCTCAGTTTAAATTTGGCACTCACATCCTTTTGAATTTCCACTCTTCAATTGAGTTTAAGGCCCCTCGTGCTCTTCCTGGACCTGAACTAAACAATTGTAACATGTATTTTCGAAAAATTTCACATTAACCCATTAGGGAACTTTTTTGTTGAATGTATAGCTGTTCCTTATTCTGTTTGTACCATGATGATGTCGTCGATCACAAATTTTTGGACCTTTTTGTGAATACTTGACGAGTGAGACACTTACGAATTTGTTTTTTGAAATTTTTATGAATGTAACTTACTCACAGGTATTTATAGCACTGCTGATGGCTTCTCAGCCGAAAGTGCTTCGCGATGTGATAATAAATTTCACACAAAATACAAAATCTCTTCATTTTATTCTAGTTTTACGTTTGTCAAAATATCAAGTGTGCATCATTGAAGTAAGAATAGACTGCACTTCACAGATCAACAAAAAACAGTGTAGTTGAGTTAAGGCTGAGACACAATTGAAGTTTTATGTAATAAGCTTCAAGGTTTAAGATTTAAGATTTATGTATCAAAAATTAAAACAGGATCCAAAACAGAATCAAAATATAAAAGCTGAAATTCCACCAATAAGGTTGTACACTGAGAGAAAACTTGAGTTATCATAATTGGAAATCTGATAACCGTTATTACGATATCTGCAATAAAACGGGGACAGATGTGTTCATTTGCTACCATAGATGAAGTGAATTTTCAGGTGACTTGTAGTTATGGCAGCTTAATCAATTTGCAAACTTGTATAAAAACACCGCTGCTGAATAACTACTACTTGTTCTAGTTTCTATGATAACACAAAATGTCGAATAGGAATTATTCCCATGAAATGTTGCAGTAACTCTCCACTCTACAGTGGTTATTAGACTATCGACATAAAACAGCATGTTTTTATTACTGGCACAACCATCTTGAGGTAACGCAGTAATACGTCTCATTTTATTATAGTTATCTGATATCTGCATGAAACCTGACATTTTGACATGCTATTGTAATAAAGCTCATTTTCAACAGTTATCCCAATATTTTTCTACTCTAGTATATTCATCAAACGGTGGTCATAAGGTTATCTAATCAACATTATTCGATGGTATGCATTATGAAACCGTGCTTTGAATTACTGCAATGAAAATAAATATTCTATCCACACTATCACTTTTCATGATCCAAAGTTATTGTTTTCAAGAAAACAAAAAATTACGTTTAGTCTCTGAATTGAAATATTTGGGTATCTGTAAGTTTTTTGACATTAGTCATCGATTTTTTCGGAGAAATATCATCTATATGCATTACTGACGAATTTATTAAGGAATGAGAAGTTGAATACTTATATTCACCCTTCCTTCGGAGTTATGATGAGAATTGTCAATAAAACTTCGCTCACAGAAACTCAGATATTTTGATTCAGAATCCCATCGATCATTTTGTTTTTGAAATAAACCAATTTTAGGCCATGAAAAGTGGGTATGGAGAATACTTTTTTCATTGCAATAATGCAATGCACGGTGTATTCCACAGATCGGTTCACAGCCAGCACTAAAACAAAACTTTGCTACATCACAGACATTCACCTACAAGACACAGCTCTATCGATTCGGACGATCGAAACCATTGAACAATAATTGAACACGGGCACCCATGACCGAGAATAGCAGTGAAATGAACGCGATCTGTATCTTTGTCAGTCCCAATACTAATGAAACACTATAGAGCGAAATGAGCCGAATTACGATTGTCGAATGATTGCCTAAACTGACATACATGTGAATTGCTAGAGTTATTCGTCAACGTACAATGCTTAAAACCCAAACAGCTATGATTATTGGGACAAACATTATCGGAATTCACCAATGAGCATAATTCACAAAACGAGCTATGTCAATAAAAAATCTAAATAGACTGGAATTTATAAAATTCTCATAATGTCATAACACACCTGCGTTATGATGGTAGCAAATGTCCATTCAAGGGTATTACAAATGATTTAAGAAATCGATTTTCATAATTACAGAATGGAGAGAATACTGTTGTAATAATAAAATGATCAGGAATAGGAGATTTCCTTATAATGGTTATTACAATCAGAGCTGGCAGATATTTTTAATATCCAGTTTCTCTCAGTGTATGATCCAACCACCTGACCTGAATCAAGAGTTCATCTGAACTATTTATACACTATCATTTTCTTCTTCACTTTGTGTATTTTCGTCAGGACATTCAGTTATTTCAGTATCAGTTTCATTTTCTAATAAGATCATGTCCGAATAATCTAAATTCGTATAATCATGAAAATGTGTCATGTTTTTATATATACTTATAATCAACGTTTTCCTTCAAAACTTTTTCAAAAATGGATCTTTGATGTTTTTGTTTTGAGGTTATGTGGCATGCATCATGCATCATACAGCTGCACAGAAATTCAGAAATAGTTCCATGTGGAAAAGGGTTGCTGTGATTGGTTGGGTTTCTAAATTTTAAATCATAAAAACCATCACGTCCGTATTTTAAAACATGAAACTTATTTCCTAATTCATAAATGTGTATTCTGTCTTTCGACACAAATACCTGTGTGTTCATTTTAATATACTTATATCTCAAATCATAAAACTTGAAACTTATAACATAAAACTTCAATTGTGTCTCAGCCTTTAGGTGTGGCATTTCAGGTGCAGTTTGACCAAAGTTGACTTTGACACAATGACTTTAAAGTCTTGTGAATCTGACAAGCGTGTTATTCTTTTTCAAATTGTTTACAGCATGAATAGGATATTGACGGTATAAATAGATCTGGGACTACCGTTATACCCCATATACACAGGATTATTAAAAAACTATTCATTCATAGTATTCAGCTATTCGATGGCCAGTTTTACAATGTTACTATACCTATTATAATATTCACGAACATTGATAGTATATAACATGGTTGTTTCGCTCAATGATAAGATATTGCAGTACTAAGAAGACATTCACAAGCACTGGGGTAGGTGAAACTTTTTCCCATGAACGAATTGTTCAATGAGTTATATACCAGGACGCTCATCTGGGTCGTTTTTTGCTTACACTTATATGTATCGTCTAGCCTTGTTTCCTTCTTGTGGCAGAATGATGAATCTTGATTTGCACTGCGAAATGAAGAAAAAACAATCTTTCATTGACAAATTACAAGTTCACATTCTATCGACATATTTCACGATTCATTAGACCAATGATACTATCAACATGTAGGTATGTGTGACTATTCTGAGAACCCGAATGAATGAAATAAAACCCTCAAAATAGGAAGGAATATGGTATTGTTTACATAAACATTATAAGAGGTGGAGCAATATATTGCTTCCTATTATACATGGTGTTTCAGATTCGAATGTACATACGATTACTGTAGATAGAGGACACTCTGATGGTGTCAAATCGTCTACCGTCTATTATAACTGAGATACAGTTTATAATGATTCTGGCAAAATCTACTACTGGTAATAATTTTTGAACTACTGTGTATTATCTATCAATACTTGGTAGAGATATTCCACTTATATTTCATGAATATAAACAAAATTAGAATCGAGATCTGAATCTAGGTCCGTCCTAACAAAAAACAGAAAACTTCTTTCATTTCAAAAACAACACTGTATGGCAAAATTGTGTGGATCTGTTTCGATATTGGTAAAGACCGAAAAAAAATAAATAGGTTGTCATATATGTCACTAGCGCGCTTACAATTCGACAGATGGTTCATGATCATGTTTTGAAGTCTTCTCCTCAATTCAAGGCATTTTTATTGAACTCCAAATCCAGTTTTTGCAAAAAAAAACAGTTTCCAAAGTTCAACATCATGAGAGTCAAATAAGGTGAACTATCGATAGAAATGTTCGTTTGACAAAATAACTTGTTTTTCTACTCACATAACTAAAATAGCATTCAGCGTACGGATATGTACCACGCTAAATGATCGATTAATCACGGATTGACGATCTGTGATTTATTCAAAATATTAAACACGTTACCATGGCAACGCGATTTCTTAAACACATTACCATGGCAACACAGTTCATTAAACATAGCATCGGTAATTTGAGACATGTCTGGTCTGTCAATAGTATTAACTGTCAAATGCCATTTTCGAATTTTGTATCAGAATTATTCAAACAATTTTGGTTTGTATCATGATTTTTCATTGAAAATATATGCGAAATGTAGGATAAGGGAGTGAAATCGAAGAGAATGTTTTGGTACTTGCGTATCTCCAAGAAGTGTAAAAATGAAGCATCCATCTTTGAGAACAATTTATTCATTCTGCGCTTAGCATGACAATAAACGTGAAACAAAGGTTAGTAAGCAATGAACTGGACACATCTACAACCAATATCACTTATTCGTGTCTCGCTGGTTGTATGCATCAGTTGCATCTATTATGTTCTCAATTCCCATGCCTTTCGAATTATTTTGTAGGTTAGCAGGAATAGCAGGTATGTTAATGTTATTCTAGGAGTTCGTAGAAAAAGCATAGTATGTAACGCGTTCATAAACTCTTCTAGACACTCGTTTATTAAACACTCGCTCCGCTCTGCTCCGCTCGTGCTTAAAATACGCGTTAATAAAAGGACGTTTATTACACTTGTTAAATAATATTCTATCATGGTTTCATAAATTTTTGAGGCCAACTTTATTATTCATAATTGATTTATGATCTGCGGTAAAGTGAGCTGAGAAAAAAATCTGATAATCTGACATTTCGTAATCATGACTACTGTGATATTATTGCGGTAAGGTCGAGATGATTGTTGGTGTTGGTGCACCTTCACGTTAGCAATGATATGAACTGTCAGAAATTGAGAATTTTCTTGTTCAAATCCAATACCTACCTCCTTCTCCTATCCCCTCTGGGTACCTACGCACGATGTTCTTCGAACATCATAGGCGTTTGCCCTCGTGCGCTCCAAGATATAAAAAAATCACCCAATCTACTTACGCGCAAACATTGATTTCAATTCTTGTTTCATTGTATTTTTCATTCTTCAAAATATAATATTTGATGCCAGCGTCTATGATCGATAGTGGCTCTATCCTCAAATTCATAGAAGTCGAGCACAATTTGCACGATCTGGATGATAAGTCAATGGGTCCCTTGAACTTTTGCGCTGCCGAAAAATTTTCCAATAGGTTGATGGACCTCATTTGTCTCTTTATTGTATTGGTTGGATAGGTGTCGTCCTTCCAGCAGATTTGATTGTAACAACCACTTTCCATGATTTCATTGTAGTACGAATCCTGAAAAAGAAACAATGAAGGTATCTAATCTGTGGTAGAAGTTCATATTGCTCGAAGTGGAGTTAAATTTTCCAAATTTGAATGGTGTTGTTTCACAATCATAAGGGACATGTTTCAGTCTCATAAAAGATCATCTTTAGTCTTATTGAGAATTCCACAATACAAAAAGATTGATGTGAAAAAATGACCCAATTTATGCTTGACTTACTTGAAGTTGAGGAATTTTAATGCTACTAGTTGTGGAATTCTTGTCCATGCCCATAATCCAAATATCAAATTATGAATAAAAAAACGGTTTCCCAATAAATGAAGGGCCCCGTGTCCTTAAAGCGCATACCATATTATTCTCATTGAAATTTCATATACCGAATTGGTATATAATAAAGGGTGATTGCCAGGAGGTTTGTTTAGACAACACCATAAATTAACGGTTTCTTTGGAGAAGAGGTTCTCCGTGTCCTTATGAAAGCGCTACTCAACGAAAATATCAATAATATTGATAGAATGAAGAACACAAATTCCAAAGTCAGTCGACCACACTTTATAAGAGATTGGAAAACAATGACCGGTTTCGGCACAACGGCCATCATCAGACTGTTCAGTACCTTAAATATATTATGGATGTAGAAAAAGTCAGGTGAAGGAAATATTTCTTTTGAAACGGCTGGAGAGCCAGAAGAATCTGGCCCTAATCAAATTGAAAATTGAGAAAAACTGAGTTTTTTATCTAAATTCAAAAAGTCACATGTTGACTGGAGAAAATTGATTCAAAGAATGAAAAACAAACAATTGACATGATAGGCTGACATTGGGGGCCAGGTAGCCGTGCGGACAGAGTGTCTATTTTTTAATTCGCATTCGCTTGCCGGTCGTGGGTTCGACCCCCGTCGACTGCAGAAATTTTTCTGATGGCCCAAGAAAGTGTTTGGAATCACACGTTAAAAGGTAAGGCCCCCGTCATTCCTTGCTCGCACAAGACTTTCGAAGACTTTTGAGGGTTGCTCGTAAGGGGGCAACCGAATGACGGATAGAACAAATTTTAGAACATACTGACATATGAGGCACGAACATCATAGAACAAAAGATGATGGCAAATGACAGAAGGTCACAAATCAGCAGCCTAGATCACGAAAGTAAAGAAGAAAGAGCTCTGTGAAGGAAAAATAAGAAGGAGAAATAAAGTTTTAATGAGGGAAAAGAAGAAAACCAAGAGGATCGATAAGAAGTGAGCGGTGTGCAAATAGGAAGCAGAACAGAAGATAGAAACATTGAAGAAGAGAAGAAGATAGAACCATGGAAAACAAGAAAGAAGATGAGGAGAACAAACAGTGAATGAATGGTTATTTTGATGAAAATAAAAAGGATCGAGAATCAGAGGAAAAAAAAAGAACCGTAGTGTGCGGAAAATGTGTTTGCGATCGAAGTCAATTTGATCGTCGAGACAAGTGAAATTGTGGTTGTTGATGCATTTTTGGATTTCAAGGGTTTCATCGATCCATTTTTATTTCTATCAAAATACCCGTTCATTCACTGTTTGTTCCGCATCTGTTTCTCATAGAGAACAAGTTCTCCTCATCTTCTTCCTTTTCTTCCATGTTTCCATCTTCTTTTCTCCTTTCATGTTTCTATCTTCTGTTCTTCTTCCTATTTGCACACCGCTCACTTCTAATCGAACCTCTTGGCTTTAATCTTTTTCCTCATCAAGACTGCATTTCTTATTCTTATTTTTTCTTCACAGAGCTCTTCCTTTTCTACTTTTGTGATCTAGACTGCTGATTTGTGACTTCATGTCATTTGCCAGTTTCTTTTGTTCCATGATGTTCGTGCCTCATATGTCATTATATTAGCCTGCCATGTCAATTGTTGTTTTTTCATTCTTTCATATACTGGTTGGTTGGAAAGATATGAGACAATGAAGATATGGACAAAATTGATAAAACATCCTGTATCTCGGTTATGAGAAGTCGAAGACCCATCAACCATGGGTTTTTTGAAATCACCTCAGTGACCCTTATCCACAGTTGAATTATTTGTCTTTCCCAATGAAACACCCTGTATAAAGTGTTGTCGACTGACTTTGAAATTCGTGTTTTTCTTTTTGAAATACATTGGACCACTTAGAGTATGGATGATATCTACAATTCATGAAATTGATGATGCAAACAGCCAGTACGTGTTCAAATCCAAACTAATTTGGTTAGAAAACACTGAAAATAATGCCAAATAATGATGTAGGCATGACGTAGACATTAGTGAAAGTCAATTTCGTGGAATGAAACATGTAATTTTGACCATGAGAATAGGCATGTAACAATATCTGATACAACTACTTACCCATTCATAATTTGATTCTTCGACTATAGGCATTAACAACAATTCCACAAATAGTAGCATACACATTTCTCAACTCCAAGTAATTCAAGCACAAATCATGTAATTCTTAAACATCAACCTCTGTGTATTGTAAAACTTCAAATTTGGCTGGAGATGGTTTTTTATAAGACCGAAACATGCCTTTTATGATTGAGTAACAACACCATTAAAATTTGTGGAGATGACTTCGAGCATTCCGTCCTTCCTTTGAATGAAGGTATCTTGTCAAAAGTCCATAGTTCCTCAAAGTGGAATAGAGTAGTAACTTCTAAGGATGATAGTACTCGAAGTCTTTTTCACTATATTTTGATGTGCTCAACACATCAATCTGACTGAGCAATCCAGATGATCCACGACGCTTGATAACGTTTGAAGGAATGATCGAATGAAAACTTGCTCAGATACGTCAACTTCAACTTCCAGAAAACATAATTCAAAATTGATTTGTCATCTTTCATGACTTCCATCTTTCCTTGAGAAACGGGGAACACGGGTCGAATGGTAGATACCTTAGTCGGAAGGTATTACCATCCTGATAATAGGTAGTTATGTTGTGATACTTTTTTAGTAGAGGAAAGCCATGACATATGACACATTTGTCTCAAAATAGTATATTGTGCAACAAGTGGAAAAAGTACGAGTAGTGAGAAAAGTGCTTTTCCCTACATGTTGCACACTATACTTCTTCTACAACTGCACTCATTCAAAGAATCCGACTAATATTTTTTTTTTCTTTTCTTTTTCATTCCATTTTTTTTATTTTATTTTAGCCGTACACCAATTCAACAGCCGAGGCCAATCACAGAATGAGAAAATAACAATTTTGGTCAAAAATCTGTGTGAATATTGTAACAAAAAACAGAACAGAGAGAAGGAAATAAAGATATAAACATAAAATAAATGACACACTGCATAACGATGTGTATCAAATGAAGAAAAACTAGGGTGAGAAGAAAGTTCATACAGAGCGCTACAAACAGTGTCAAAACAACAACAAAAAATATAAACATATTTTGGTAAAGTAGCCCTTTTGATGTCTATTGGTTTGCAGTTCCTAGTTTCTCAAAGTATTCGAAAAAAGTACACTTTCCGAAAAATAATTAATTTCTGTATTTCTTTCGATTCCATGAATTTTTCTCACCAATATGCCAATTCATACTTTTTCCTTGTTTCCGGAAACAAATCCAACTTTCGCAATTTTTTCCATCATCTCTGTCTCTGGCGGTGTATTCATCAAATTCGTCACATCTTGGAATATATTTTCCCCATATGTTGCACACTACAATTTCTCTACAACTGCACTTATTGAAAGAATCCGAGTAATGTAGCTTATTGGTATTCATTTTATGATGTGGCACTATGCCACAATGAATATTGTGATCAAAGAGTAGACGCCTTTCCTAGTTTCTCAAATTATTTCCAAAAAGTACACTTTCCGAAAAAGATTTCATTTTTGTATTTTTTTTTAGATTCCATGAATTTTTTGTTTATGCCCATTCATACTCCTTTCTTGAAATTTCTGGAATCGAATCCAAATTTCGCAGCTTTTTCCATTATCTCTGTCTCTGGCGGTGTATTTATCAAAATCGTCACATCTCGGTATATACATCATACATCATTTATTATCAATTGTTGGAATGATATCTGATAGAAAATGCGATTTCTATCAAAAGCACTAATGAGAACTACCCTGAAGAATTTTAAAAACTTCCTCTGACAGTTGTGACAACTATTCGAAGCTGAACAGCAGTCAAATTTTGGTCGATTCTTGTTGATTCTCCATGGTATGTGGTGTTGGCAAAGTGCCGTGAGAAGAAATATACAGTATGAGCAATACATGGTTCTGAAACTGAGTTAGCTGACAGAAATGCGTTACTTTTCATCGCAGTAGTAGTAAAAATAGTTCTCAATGAATGGAAGTTGACGTGTCTAAGCATTTTTTCAGTCGATCATGTCTTCAAATGTTATTTAGGGTGAATCGTCTTCAATTGGACATACTCAATATTCGAATAGCCTTTCAAGCAATATGCCAAAACGAAACATTGTATTATCAATGTGGAGATACCTCTCGAATGAGGTATCACTCGACCCATGTTCACATTCAAAATTCATGAAAGGGCGGTTCTCAAGCGAAGGGGGACACCATTGCAGATGACCAAACGATCTCGTATTATGTCTCCGTAAAATCATAGTTGAGACGTCTGAGCATCTTTTTATTCAATGAGCCATTCGGTGTATATAATACTCATTAACTCTGATTGTAGGACATAAATATGATTTTTAGATGTAGGGCATGAGGATGTCCAGAACATGTACATGTGTTGAGCAGATAAGTCCGAGTATTATTGAGTATTCAATGGAGCTACTCCTGATACCTCACGGAATTGATATACCCAGCTAATTACGTCGAGATGACCAAACTATCGAAATAATAGCGACGTAAATGTGACGTCGATATGTCACATCGAAACGGCGTCATTTAGGAACGTCGTTACATCGTCATTTAGCGACGTCATGCACACGTCGAATAGTTACCAAGCATCAGGTCCATCAGGTTTCGACATCACAAAGAAACTGTGAAACTCGAAATCACTTTCCCATGATCCTATTCCTCGATGGTTGGCAAAACAGTTCAAATGATCTAGTTACAATAGTTGTGGATATTTTTCATTTGTTTACATAATTATACATAGGTATTCTTCATCTGAATAAAACTTATTAGCATAAAATCCACTATATTCTATAGTATATAGACATAACGAAGATGTCGAATTCTCAAGGAATCTCGACCTAATAACCTCAAATCATTCTTGTACCTTCGATTCAAGGTATTTATAGATTACCTTCTTCAAATAACGACATCACTACATCAAACAACTTTCAAGTTCCATTTGTAGATTTTGCTTTCTTAATTATTGACCTGTTGAAAAAGTCTTGCTGTTTGAAAGGTGGCCACTACACTTCGCAACCTCATGAGGCGTCATGGCGTCAACTTCTTCTCCTGAACGAGGGCAATGCCTTTCCTCGGAATATTCTATTCCCACAAACATTTGTACTGCCTGGAATTGATTAAATAACCAGCGAACTGCAATATTATATTTTGCTGAACCACACTTTTCCATAGTTTCCTAGTTTACCATGACCCAAAATCACGAATCCGCCATTACAACATTCGAAACTGTGCTACGATCGACGATGGCCGATAGGGGTAGCAGTGGCATTGTGCGAAACGAAGACACACACGAAGCCATGCACGGAGCACGGATTGATCATAAGCATCTGTATGTCTTGACGTGGCGCGCCATTATAAAAGAAGAAGGCACCTGGTATAACCGTATTTATATACATATAATAAATTCTTGAATCTCTCGTATCTGTGCCCAAGTTATCTCTATCAGGGTGTTCTTCATTAATATCTGTTCTACATATTTTTCCACTTAGTTTTATCCATGTCGGGTATACGTGAATCCTTTTCTAAGGTAGGTACCTATTTTATTTTGATAAGCGTTCAATCATGAGTCCTGAATATGCAGTTTATGGGGAAATCTCTTCGAAATAAAATGAAATGACGTCAAATGACGTCTTTATAAGATATGTTTTTGGAACACGTCAAAATGACGTCAATTATTGGTCGAATCTTGACGACGACCAATTGCCACCTATTATCCACGTCGATTCGATGCGATTCGATGAGAATTGACGTCACCCTGCTGGCTGGGTATTGTATTCAATATTGACTGGCGATGCAATGTTATACCGGTTGTACCGAAGCTTTGCTTTCTTTTATGCAGCATGGAAAAATTCACCATCTGGCCAACAACCCCTGAGAAACCACCCTCAACATATACGAGGTCATTCACCTAACTATAATTCATTAGATGCTTTCAGAGAACAAAAAGACACGTCTATCTGGAATTTTTGGTGTAACCATTGGGTGGTCTATTACTCTGAAATATCCTGAAATACATGTCGAAAATTCAGCAGCATGCTGCTGACGTCAAAATAAGAAGAAAAGTTCGTATTTCTACAGGCATATTCTCAAAGAATGATCCGTGTTATACAAGGTGCAACTCCTAAAATACGTTTTATAACTCTATAAGCACATTTCATCCTGGTACATCTTCAACGCACTTTTCATTCATGAACACACCATCATCAGCATAGACACATCATCAGTACAAAAATATTCTGCGGTCTACGGATAAAATCATCTCGAACTATGGAAAAAATGCTCGATAGTACATTCATGTCCGATTGTCAAGACAAGATTCATCAAATCCACTATTTTTGGCGACAGTTGTTATCAAACAGAATGCATTCCTGAAATGTCACGCTTTAATATTGAATCATCTGGAGAAGTCATCAGTTTCGCAGATGATACCGCCATAATTTTCGAAGCTGAAAATTGGGATAATTTGAAAACCATCATAGAGAATGATTTGAAACTTATCAAAAATTGGTTCGATTATAAGGTACTGACAATTAATTTCGAAAAAACATTTTATATGCCCTTTTCATGTTATGAAAACACCAATCCTCCATTTAGAGATCTGAAAATTAGGAGTATAACTATCGATAAACATCTAAGATGGAACATACATATCCTGAAATTATGCAATACCCTGAGAAGTATCTTATACCGATTCAAATATATCTCCAAATTTCTCAGAATGATTTATCACGCATTGGTTGAATCTAGATTGACATATGGGATAATAGGGTGAGGATCTGCACTAAAAGAACATATTAAAAATCTGGAAGTTCTTCAAAAAACCTTTTTGAAAATTTTACTAAACAAACCCTCCCGATACTCATCTGATTTGATATACTCCGAATCTAAAATCCTTGATATTCGTCAACATTATTTTTTTATATCATCCTGCTTTGGATTCAAAGCTAAATCTAATCTAAAGAGACTAGAACATTCTTACGGAACAAGACACAAATCAAAATATTTCAAAACACCGCTTGTTTCAAAATCCATAGGACAAAGATGCTTTTCGTATTTAGTACCAAGATTTTTCAATTTTATTCCTGTCGAAATAAGAGAGACATCTTCTTATAGAGGGTTCAAGAAAAAGCTTAAAAAATATTTACTCAATTCAAACAGACTAACTGTTCATGAGCTGGTGGAGGCTGGTGTAACGGTGTAATCAGATATCATTCCATCTCAGCTCATTAGTTTGATGTCTTCCTTCAATTTCTCCTTAAATATTTTCTATATGTTAAATTGCATGTTCATTTTGTGATTTTTATTTTTCATATTTATTGACCACTTTGTTGGTTGTACTAGGCATGTGTATTTTATCAAACTTCAATTGCCTTCACTATATTATTTTTATGGTGATTTAAATTATATATGTGTTTTGTAATTTACATGTTCGCATTTGGTGACCGATTTGTCTGCTTTGCTGCTTGTATACTGGACATGTGTTCTTCACCAATTTCAGTCATGTTAGAAAATCTTGATTTTGAAATTAAACATATTTTTTATTCGCTTCACTCAATATTTTATCGATACTAATTTTAAACATAGGCTACACTCACACCACAGAGAGTCTTTGACTTCGTGGTTTTCTGTTTATTTGTGAAAAATTGTTATCGCCGTCATCTAAATGATATTGTATTTACACATTTTTTTATACCAATAAACTATATTATTATAGGAAACGAAGCGTCCTACTTCATTCTTTATGTATGACGGAATAGGCACCCGTGATGATCTCCCGTGAATTTTTGAAACACCCTGGGTAACATACAGTGACAGTGTGTTTCACTTTTCACTAGTAATGTGTGCACCATTGTCTCTTAGTAAGTTATCATATTCAGTGATATACATTGCTCGCCAATGGCCGTGGAACCATCCACATTTCCGAAATATGATATAAGGACGCAAGATACGTTGAAAATCACTTCCGATTCGAAATCAGGACGCCGAATTCACTAACTATTCATATTTTTCCTGGAGAAATTAATTGTTGACTCATATTTCATGGAGGCACCCCCGTATCTTACGCAATTGACTTCATCTTCAAACACTTTTTTCCACCTGTAAAGTTGAGAACGCTACTTCAATGATCATGTGAGACACAGAGATGTCACGACAATGGGGTGAGAAAAAAATTCATTTTCCAAAATTGAAAATTATTCACTAAAATGAGATTATAGTCAGTGAATCGGACGACTTGAGAAGCGAGCAGTGTATTTCACCGAACATGACTCCTGGTCAAAGTGTGTATTATTTAAATAATCTTCCGCTTCTGCAAATTTCAGAGTCCTGACACGACAATAACGGAATATACAGGGGTGTTTATATTGAATATGAGACACGCTGTATATGAAAGAGAATTTTGCATTTAGAGAAAATGATCTCAATTCAGACAAGAATGTCTGAATTCACAGAAAGAAGTCCGAATTCAGCTAAAAGAGTCTGAATCCATTCAAGAAGGTCTGATTTCATAAGAGAAAAACGTCTAAATTGAGAGAAAAAGGCCTCACATCAGACAAAAAGGTCTGAATGCAGACAAAATAGTCAAACAAGAAAGTCTGAATAGATGGGAGTGGCCTCTGTACGCTTCCATAGGTTTCAGCTTTCCGGAAAAAATTGGGAACGATGATGAAACCGACCACTTAATTTTTTGCGAAATACATAGGTCATGCTGGTGGAGTGTTACTTGGAGTTGAGGAAGAAAGACAGTTCGAAGGTTAGTCCATCTCCAGCCTAATCAATGCTTGCTTAATTTATTTCAATATATTTGCATGGCACCGATTCACTTACTCACTCACTTACCCCTTTGATTTCTATTATCATCACAATGAACACGAAAACGTTTATTATATAGTGCAACATTTTTATTGCTTATTTGCCGAACAAACTATCTTGAATGAATAAGTTAAATATATTTCGTATTGTGGTAACTTTGATAGTTAATAACCACAAACTTTGATTGACGCATGCCGGTTGTCTAATGCAGAATGTGATTGCAATCGTTATCGTTGAAATATTGGATGCAGGATATCCTACGGTAAATCCAAAACCAAGACCATTGTTTCATACAACGTGAGACGAAAATAAAACATCGAATTCCATTCACAGATTCTTCAGTTTGTTTTGAAGTAAAAGTATTTCCATCATAGGTCCTATCTGAGATAAAAAAGGGTTTCAATAAAATGCGTGACAATAATTTTTTTCTGTAAAACGCCTCTAGAAGTAATGGAGAATAATGAACATTGTGAGAGATACATCACGCTGAGCTTGTTTTCATGCGGAAGAGTAGATTTGAACGGTTTGTCATATAATTTGAAATACTGACACACGTTCGCGACAATAGCTATTTATACATGATGTTTCAGTTTTTTGTAGCAGGACTTGAACAGCTTGAAGAAGACATTTTTTTTAGATGAGAATCCCAAATAAACATATATGCGTGGAAGCTTCGTTTCTGATTTACAGGGTGTCAAAGTTTCAGATTTTTTTTATGTTTTTTGAATTTTCTCCTACAATTTTCGGAATAATTAATTGGAATTTGGTACACCTGATATACTTCAAAAACTCAATATTTGAGGCTATTGAGCGTTTTTGAATACCTACAGGGTGATAGACTTTCAGGGGTCGTACCCAATTCAACTGTTGTGTACCAAGGGAGGAACAAGAGTAATTTCGATGGAACAGGGTTAACTAAACTTTATTCACTGTTGAGGTTACAGAACAATGATTATATCTTTACTACTTAAACATTTCAATCCAAGATTCTAAAGTGAACTGTAAGGAAAAGTGCATCGAGAAAAGTATGCACTTGCAAAAAATGCACTGTCAACATAGAGCTCTCATGCAGGATTATACGTGCTTATCGCCTTGTTCATTTTGCGACGAAGAAAAGCAAGTTCTGATATTACAATATAATATGTGAATAATGATATACTAAGTGTTATAGAATGATATGTCCATTATACATATAAGCAGTTAGGTATCTAACACAACCCTGTAGAACTTTTTTGCGTGCCGCCTCTGCTTTCAATGGGACATAGATTCAGTTTGTCTCTGCAATTTAGAAACTTTTTGCCCCCATGTATGTTTTTCGAAAACTGTATGGAATTTGAGATGAGAACCACTTCTAAGGGTACTGATAACATTAGAACTGCCGTTCACGAGATTAAATTACACCTCAACCGTCAGAAGCGACAGTCTAGCGATAAGGATGGACTTCTAGCAATGTATAGCACCTAGACCGTGTGTCATACAGTCCCTGATATCGAAAGTTTAACCAGTTTCAGTTATACAGGGTGTCCTAGAATTTTCTACAATACAATTTCAGATTTGGCAATCCAGTTAGAGAAGTTTATTTGAAATAAAAACATTTTGTCCTTGTTTGTCCTAGTTTTAATTATTATAATGGTGTTCAAAAAATTCAACCTAATTTTGCAACTGAATTTCATTAGGTATGGAAGTTTTCGGTCATTCTATTTTCCAATAAAATGTTGGAGAAATGTCAAATAAGTGTGTGAGAAATAACGGTTTCATTACAAGTAATTTATTTTTGGCATTTATCTCGAGATCCATACAGTTTTCGAAAAATTTACATGGAGACAAAAAGTTTCCAAATTAAAAGGACAATTCGAATCTATGTCCCATTGGAAGCAGAGACCGGTATGCAAAAAAGTTCTACAGGGTGAAATTGGGTACGACCCCTGAAAGTCTATCACCCTGTGAGTATCCAAAAACACTCAATAGCCTCAAATATTGGGTTTTTGAAGTGTATTATGTGTACCAAATTTCAATCAATTATTCCAAGAATTGTAGGAGAAAATTAAAAAAACATAAAAAAAAATCTGAAACTTTGACAACCTGTAAATCGGAAACGAAGCTTCCACGCATATATGTTCGTATGAGATTTTCATCTTGAAAAAATGTCTTCTTCAAGCTGTTAAAGTACTGCTACAAAAAACTGAAACACCCTGTATATCAAAGGAGGAAACGTATACATTTCCACCCGCGTGTGAAGTGAACCTTTGCTTTGCTTATGATTTTACCAACGAACGCATTATCTTGAAGCATCATTCTTGGAATTGTGCTTCAGGCAGTCCATCTCGCCATCCACATCTTAATGCATTACAAAGGTAGAGTGTGCCATGAATAATTGACTGCATTCGAACGAAATTCAATTTGACACATCTGTCATCATGAATCAATGAAAGAATTATTCATCGTTTAATTCTGAAACAAAGCATTTCCAGACACAAGTTTATAAAGAAAGTTTCTTTATAAAAATTTTCTCAGGAATACGTCACCCTGTATGTTGATATCATGAATATATTTACTTATTCAAAAAACACCTTGTATTTCAGATCACAATCATCAAAGTGAAGAAATGAATGGGTAATATCTTTCTCTCAGGAAATGTCGAAATCAATAATGGAAAACAGTATGAATGATAATATAGATGATGATAATAATCCAGTCAAAAATAGAAGACTGCACAACGACCAGAGTATTTAACTTCTGAATCATTCGATATAGTATTATGGAATTTGGTGGGTAGCAAGTAGTTTTACCAAATTGTTCATTTATTGTCAAATAAATATTTGTTTTACCAATTCCGGTGCAACCGGAAGACACTCTGAATTTCCATTATCAAACAGTGCGTGATTTATTTCAGTGACCGTTTTTTTATGCATCATCGTTCATAATAATTATTCAAAATGGGTCTACCGTATACCTGGTGACACTGACTCATCCCAGCAAATATTGAACTAGCGGGAGAAGTCCGGCCTAGTGCAGGCTATTCTGGGAAAGTGACGATGCCTGGGTATTGGTAATGGGCCGATGATTTTTCTATGCCAAGTAACCATCAGTTAAAAATACGATGATGGCCTTGTGATGGTAAGATGTCTGGAACTAATTGAATACTAACGAGATCTGGCCCTTTGCTGGCCAATTTCATGTTCGCTACTCGATCCCCTGGTAGATGTTCTAGGAACGTCTACATCAACAATTAGCTGATCAATATTATATGTGACTAAGATGGCTGACTCTCGTGAGTGGTGATCGTGTACTAGTTTGATTTTGTCGAATTAATGTGGTTATTCATGATGGCAGGAGTATTCTCAATTGAATAGATAGAAGACGGATTCTTCAATTATGATAATATTGAGTGAGTATCAATCTACCTATATTGTGTTTCGAATTCCATTATTAAATGCATGTGTTTGGTATCTCGTTACCTCGTATACCTAATGGTCATAATAATTGGAGTTGGCTATACTTTTTCCAAAAGCAACTATTATTTTTAACTCGTTTGTTTCTATCGAAAGCAATCTCAGGTTATGTGAACCTGGCCCTATATTGAAGAACCTAATAACAATTAGATTTTAGCTACAGAAACACCTGTGCCAAGAAAATAATGACAATTGAAAAGCTCCATGTTATCACATCATCAGACTATATTATGAAGTTATAAACTCATGCCATAGGCCACTAATATATAACTAATGATGCATTGTATATATCAGTACCTCACAACGAAGAATCAACTTTGGAGGAATGCTACCCAATAAGATGTAGATACCACATACCAACCAGTAAGCAGTCACTCCGAGATGTTTCAACGTTGAAGAACAGAGATGTTAAAAAGATATTATTCATTTATTTATTTATTTATTTACATGAATAGGCTACTCAACAGATAGTTTTACCCATCCAATTACAGAGTAGCACAAAATTAGAACAATATAATGAATAGTTGTGAAAGTTGACACAGTTCGAAAATGAAACATAAACGTGAGCTTCGATAGTATCTATAAATTTCAGTTCTTAAACTAACATAGCACACAATGAAAGAAAACAAAAACTGAATGATATTGTGATGTCAGATTCATGTTTATAGCAATAAAGAAAAAACTCAAAAGAATATTCATTTTTACATGATGATGATGATGCTATACTGGATTGCTTGAAGCACTAAATTTATAAATGTATATATATATATATATATATATATATATAGACTAGTAAATAGTGAGGTTTTGCAGCAAGTAAAAGAGAACTCTTTGAAGATTATCCAAGCTTTCGGAATTTAATTGATTCCATCATCAGGGCATACTACAATAATTATTGTCAGTGATAATATAAAAGTCAAAATTAATTTGTACTTACATCTACGTGAGGATGATTACTATGATGTTAACAATAATTTTCAAAAATGAATTGTGATACATCATCCAGGAACGAAGTTGTTTGTAAACTTCGTTCCTGGATGATGTATCACAATTCATTTTTGAAAATTATTGTTAACATCATAGTAATCATCCTCACGTAGATGTAAGTACAAATTAATTTTGACTTTTATATTATCACTGACAATAATTATTGTAGTATGCCCTGATGATGGAATCAATTAAATTCCGAAAGCTTGGATAATCTTCAAAGAGTTCTCTTTTACTTGCTGCAAAACCTCACTATTTACTAGTCGATACCTAACTAGTCAGCAACGACTACCCTTCTACTATATATATATATATATTCAAAGCACTACCGAGAAATAAAAGATTGTTTCAGTTCCAAATATCCGTTTTGATATATAGGAGGATATTATATATAAAAAAAACAAATATAGATATAACGACAAAACAAAAATATTATCGATGAATTCCAAACACAATTGACTTTAATCGTTTTTTAAAACTCAGAAAAGATGTAGAAAAAATATCTAGATCAGAAATATTATGTGTCATTCATAAAATTGTTTTCTTGAAATCTGGTATGTGTCTGATTCATGAAGAGAGGGAGGGTTATACTGTGAAATAAAGAGGAACTAGAACTTTTAGATCCATTGGACCCCTAAAACCCCTACCCCTTCCCTACCTCGATAGTATATGTAACCAATATCGTTAATTGGACATTACAGTTCCATTATTGATGTATATGCTGGGTTTGCTATGGGAAACTCAATGTGTCGATCATGT